TTGTTGATTTTTGTTGATTTTTGTTCAAGACAGCAAGAATAGTGTTTTGTTTTACAAATGAGAACTTACAGAAACATTTCCCTGATTGTTCACATCTTTTGTAAGCACTCAAAATATACATGCTATCAGTTTTCAGAAGTCAACCTTCCTTTATCTCACTAAAATCACAAAAATCAACAGATGCAGCCACTAAAATCTGCTGTTGCCTGTCTGACATGAACTTGGATGAAACTGGACATCAATGGTTTTAAATCTTGATAAAGATTATTTATGAACTAATGTGCAATAAATGGTTGTAAACATAGACTTATCAGATACATGAAAACGAAAAGAAAGATAATCTGTGTCAAAGAGAGAGAGAAAAAAATAATAATTTGGATTTCCTAGATCATTTTATTAATATAGAAAGTCGCTATCCTATTATGTACATAACTGATCCTAAAGGAGAAAAGGAACTGATAGAATTGTGTGTAATTCATAGAAATTTTTGCACATTACATTTTTACATAACTTTTATGCAAACCTGTTTCATGTGCTGATTTGGATGTAACATAAAAATAATAGTTCGGCATCTTATGCATAAACTCAGACCTTTTATTGCCTCACGCCCCTTGGCAATCTGTATTAGAAGATATTAGAAGTTTTTTTCTTCAATTATCCATTTTGCTATATTGGTTATGTAAAAACATTGTTTCATAAAAATCCATCCTGATTGTTTATTTGAATCTGGAACTGGTTAATAATATATCTATGTAGATTCTCAATTATCCAGGTCATAGTTGTCCCAAAGGTGATTTTCTTTTCTTTTTCCCTTGAAAACATTTTGATTCTCATCAAAGAAACTTCCTTAGTTCTAACTCCATTGGAGGGGAAGGGAGAGATTTAACAGGTGTGGAATCTTTTTGGGACTGCTAGGCCCAAGATGATTCCACACCTGTTTGTATTCTGATTCAGGTGACTCTGGGGATAGAGATAAAGCCCAAAGTGGCTCAACGACTCTCAGAGAGCTAAGAACCCTTAAAGTACTAATAACCAGATGACTGCAGATAATATAAATCCTTCCACTCCATCAGAAATGAAGAATCTTCTTGGATGAGAAGCAAAATATTTTCAAACAAAAGGAAAGTCCAGTTGCCTATTAGAAAAGCACCTTTGGGAGATTAATAATATATATAAAATGCAGCTAGCATTGTAAACCATAATTTTAAATTGGCTTATTTTCAAAATAACAATACATGATGTCATACATCATCATCATTATTTTGCTCAGACATAAGGACAGCAAAAGCTTTTTGTTTCTTTCTTGTGGCAGTGCCAAAAAAGGGAACGGGAGCATGAACAAACATGAAGCTCATTCAGAAAATACAACTCTTCAGTTTAGCATTAGAGGGGAGGTTCAGTCACTATCTTGGTTTAATGGCAAAATAGAAAAAAAACTGGTTGGTCATGTCAGGGAAACTATATAACCTGGAGAAGAGATGGTTCTCCACCCCCCCCCCCTGCCAATATATCAGACAAGCTACAGAAACAGACAGGTGGCCCTTATTATCCTTTTTTTTGTATAATGCTTGAAATATATAAACCAAACCTCATTATTTGTTTAGTATATCTGTTATTGGCAAGCTTTTTGTGTACTTTATGTACATGCAGAATGGCAGACAGATCTTTGCACCATGATATGTAAAAAAACATTTTTTGCAGCTTTGTTATCCATTCTTTTGTTTGGCTACAAAAGAATTCCCATAAATAACAAGGGCTCCCCGTGACACACATATTTTAAATGTTGGCCAAGATTTCTACCAATATACCATCCTGCTTGTGTCTCTGCTTGTGAACAATTGGAGGGTCTTAATATAAAGATTTAAATTATTAGATATTATCTAATTTGTTACCAAAAAGGTTAGATACCGTATTATCAATCATTCATTAAAACTGATTATTATGCTGGTTACATTTGTTAATTATTGAATCCTC